CACATGCTATTACAGAATCTTACTTTGGGTGAGGATTTCTTTGTGTCACTTTTCATAAGTGGATTGAGAGAAGACATCAAACATAGAGTAAAAGCTTTAGATCCTAAAAGTTTATCTGAAGCATGCAAACAAGCTAAGCTCTATGAGTTATCTGTGGAGTTTGAAAACAGAAAGTTGAGACCTTCCTTTAAGGTCCCACCCTACCCAAACCCCATTATTACTTCCAAGACAACTTTAGTACCCCTACCTACTAAATCCACACCAATTTCCAATCCTAAACAGAATCTTATTGATTACAGAAGGCAGAATAATCTTTGTTTTAAGTGTGGAGAGAAATTTCAGCCAGGGCATCAATGTAAAACAAGAAACTTTAATATGATGATTGAAGAGGAAAGTCCTATACCTACAGAATATGTTCCTCCTGACTCAGACCAACAGATCATGCAAGAAGAGGAAAGCTTAAAAATTTCTATGAATGCAATCACTGGGTGCATTAGTCATAACACATTGAGGATTCAAGGAACAATTCAAGGCAAACCCTTGAACATACTGATTGACAGTGGCAGTACACACAGTTTTTTGACACCACAATGGGCTGATGCTGGCATTCAAGTCCTAACTCCATACCCTTTGGCTATTACAGTAGCTAATGGTCAACAGCTATTTAGTTCAGCTAGATGCAACAAAGTAGAATGGCAGATGCAAGGACACTCTTTCATACATGATTTCAGACTTCTTAAATTGGGAGGAAGTGATATGGTGTTAGGGGTGGATTGGATAAAATTATTTAGTCCAATTCTGATGGACTTTAATCAGATGACAATGAGCTTTAAACATCAAGGGGAGAATATTGTTATACAAGGGCAGCAACCTTCACTGCTTTTGCAGCAGATTTCAGGTGCTACCTTACTAAAAATGACAGCTTCAGATACACCTATTTTGGGACATGTGGTTTTACTCAGTATGACTGAGACTCCTAAAACCATTCCTCAAGTTCTTAAACCTCTTTTAAAGAAGTACAACTCTATTTTTGATGAACCTAAGGGGTTACTACCTAGAAGAGCTCATGATCATGCTATTCCTCTCAAACATGGATCTAGTCCCATTAATTTGAGACCATACAGATTTCCTCATAACCAGAAAACTGAAGTGGAACAACAAATTGCTGCTATGTTATCTTCTTCTATTATCCAACCTAGCAAGAGTCCCTTTGCTTCTCCATGTCTTTTAATTAAGAAGAAGGATGGCACTTGGCGGTTTTGTGTTGATTATAGGCAATTAAATAATCTGACAGTGAAGGATAAGTTCCCTATTCCGGTTGTGGAGGATCTATTGGATGAGCTACATGGTGCAGTTTATTTTTCCAAGATTGACTTAAGGTCAGGCTATTGGCAAATCAGAATTAAAGAAGAGGATATCTACAAAACAGCATTTAGAACTCATCAAGGGCATTATGAATTCAAGGTAATGCCTTTTGGTCTAACTAATGCTCCTGCCACATTTCAAGCATTAATGAATGATTTGTTTAAATCATTTCTTAGAAAGTTTGTTTTGGTGTTCTTTGATGATATTTTAGTTTACAGCAATTCTATGACAGAACATATTACTCATTTACAACTAGTTTTGGAGGTTTTGCAAGTTAATCAGTTATTTGCAAAGCTGTCCAAATGTTTCTTTGGACAGACTCAGGTGGAATATTTGGGGCATATTATTTCAGCAGCTGGAGTAGCTACAGATCCTACAAAAGTAGAAGCTATGAGGAATTGGCCTCTTCCTAAATCTTTAAAATCCCTGCGTGGATTTTTGGGGTTAACGGGTTACTACAGGAGGTTTATTGAAAATTATGGGTCCATAAGTAAGCCTTTGACTCAATTGCTTACTAAGGATAATTTTCAGTGGACTACTACAGCTTTGACTGCTTTTGAGAATTTAAAACAGGCTATGTGTGTTGCTCCTGTTTTAGCTTTACCTGATTTCAGTAAAAGTTTCTGTTTGGAAACAGATGCGAGTTCAGGAGGAATTGGTGCTGTGATATCTCAAGATGGAAGACCTATTGCTTATCTAAGTAAGGCTCTAAGTCCTAGACATACTGCCCTCTCTATCTATGAAAGGGAGTATCTTGCTATTTTATTAGCAGTTTCTAAGTGGAGGCATTACTTAGAGAGCAAGCCTTTTATTATTAAAACTGATCATGAGCCTTTCAAGTATCTACTGGAGCAGAAACTAACAACCACAATCCAAAAGAAAGGGTTAACTAAATTACTGGGGCTGGACTATTCTATACAGTACAGAAAAGGTAAGTCAAATACTGTAGCAGATGCTTTGTCAAGGCAATGGGAAGATGCTGGTAAATGTCTAGCTATAGGAACTACTTTGCTTATTCCTAGCTGGGTACATGATGTCGAAAACAGCTATAAGGATGATAAATTAGCTGCTGACTGGATCAATATTTTGACTGTGACACCTACTGCTGATCCTAATTGGAAATTTTCAAAAGGAATACTCAGATTTAAAGGCAAAGTTTACATTGGTTCTACTGGGTTTCTTAGACTACAAATTCTTCAAATTTTACATGACTCCCCTCATGGAGGTCATTCTGGGACTCAAGCTACTTATCAAAGGATTAAATCCTATTTTTATTGGCCTAGGCTTAAGGCTATGGTAGTCACTTATATTAAATCTTGTACAATTTGTCAGCAAATTAAGGTGGAGCATATACCTAAACCAGGACTACTACAACCCCTTCCTATTCCTCAACAGGCTTGGGAGGTGATTACTATGGATTTTATTGAAGGCTTACCTACTTCCTTAAGGAAAAATTGTATATTGGTGATAGTAGATAAGTTTACCAAATATAGCCATTTTATGGCATTGTCTCATCCCTACACTGCAGTTGAGGTTGCTAAGCTATATCTAGACAATGTCTACAAGCTCCATGGTCAACCTAAAATGGCTATTTCGGATAGAGATAAAACATTTACTAGTCTCTTTTGGAGAGAGCTAATGAAGCAGTTGGGTACTACAACTTTATTCAGTACTGCTTACCATCCTGAAACAGATGGTCAGACAGAGAGGGTTAATCAATGTCTTGAGCAGTATTTAAGAGGCCTCTGTTTTTTGCAACCTAAACAGTGGGCTAAGTGGTTGGCTCATGCTAAGTGGTGGTATAATACTACCTATCACACAGCCTTAAACCTAACACCTTTTCAGGCTCTATATGGTTATAAGCCTCCTACAATGGTTTGGCAACCAGATGCTACAGTTTATTCTGTGGGTGAACTAATGAAAAGCAGGGAAGAAATCAGACAAGTGGTGAAGCAACAATTAGAACAGGCTGCAAACAGAATGAAGCAACAGGCAGATAAAAAGCGTTCAGAAAGAAGTTTTGCAGTAGGGGATAAGGTTTACCTGAAGTTGCAACCTTATCGTCAAACATCCCTTGCACTACGAAAGAATTTGAAGTTAGCAGCCAAGTTTTATGGGTCGTACAAAATTACAGAACGAATCGGAGAGGTCGCGTATAAGTTAGAATTACCTGAAAATTCTCGATTGCATCCAGTCTTTCACGTCAGTATGTTGAAGAGGCATATTGGGCCAGTCGCAACATCTTCGACAGAACCTCCTGTGGTCAATGAAGAAGGTCAGTTTCGCATAGAACCCAGTCAAATTTTGGGAAGGAGAATTATAAATCGAAATAACAGTTACTCAGTTACTCGTTCGATGGACTAACATGGACGCCTCGCATGACACCTGGGAAGATTATTCAGTGCTCCAAGGCCAATTTCCGTCTTTTGATCCTTGGGGACAAGGATCCTCTCGAGGGGTGGGTATTGTCATGGTGGGAGGAGAAGGGCGTGAACGCGAAGAGGATGAAGGAGAATTGGGGGAAATGAGACGAGGGTTAGGGATTGAGAATGATAGATTGGGAATTATGGCACGAGAGGGAAATAAAGACAATTTACCTTTGGAGCGGATCAGAAGTGGAACGGATCTGAAGCAGCAAGAGAAGCCCAATAGCCCATATCTGCAAAACAAATGAGAAAGAAAGAATTTGTTAGATTCTGTTACAAAGGATTGCCAGCTGGCATCCTTAGGATTCTGGTATTGTAACTAAATAAAACAAACTGTGATGATGTATTTTTCCTCATGTTATGAATGAACAACCATTTCTTCTCTGAAAACTCTCAATTCTTCTCTATTCTTATTCCCTATTTCTCGATTTCTCTTCTACTCACCTAAAACCATAACAATCTCCCTTAATTTTTTAGAAGCCTCAAGGCCAGAAATGTGGAGCAACAACATTCAAAAGCAAAGTCAGATCTCGGAAGCCACAGCTGTTGAACCTTTTACTGCTTCGAGTACTGCATCTTCTAGTCTTGTTGCAACAAAGACGACAGCAGATGCGTTAGAGCCACGTCGGGTTTACAAAGTGATGAAAAACTCGTTGCTTGGTGAAGGGGGTAAGGCTTACACGTCTGCTAACTTTGCCTCTGCAGCTGAACATTCCAGTAGAAGCAAAGGTACCAGAAAATTATGAACTATTATATCGGTATATCTTGCACATATGTACAGCGTTATAGTTTCCGAGATTACTATACGGCTCAAGTCATTTCCTCCTTTTAGGAGTAGATAAATGTATATACATATGTATATGACACAAGTTTTGGATAAGATTTATTCTACAAGAGAAGTGATATCTGGACAGGAAAACTTTGTAAAATGCACTCTTTTCTCTCTAATCTTCGTTACTGTGTATATATTGTAGATGTTAATTGATTCTTATATTCCAGATTGTAAACTTTTAGCATTCGAACCTGGTAATTGATTTTGTCTAGGAATGTGAAAAAAAATTGTTGAACATGAACAAGAATCATTCTAGAATAATGATTCGTTTATATCAAACAACAATTAAAATGAGAGCATATTGGATGGCCTTAACTCATTAATCACACACAGCAACTAAGTCATCCATTCCCACCAAAAAATAAAGAAAAATCATTGGCACAATCAAACCACTCCACTAAAACGAGACAATGTTTTGGAAGGTGCAGCTTAAAATAGTGCTTGGCAACAACACTTGAGATGCAGATAACCCATGAAGGGTCAATGTTAATCATATCAATTCCAAAAGTGCATTATTATTATGATGTGCAACATCTACTCAGCCTGAAATCTGATCAGACATTACAGAAAAATACAAAAAAAGAAAGATAAAAAAGATAAAATCCTTCCTGTCTCAATACTTTGATGACCAAACTTGCAACTCATTCTTCAGGCGAATCTGAGCGGAGAGCTGATATTAAACCAAGATGATAATCCATCAGAATACACTCATTAAAGGAAAATAATGATATCAACAAAACATTATTCTGAGAAGGGATTAAAAGAACTATAGCAGGATAGACCGATGAGAGTAATAGTATTCTACAGATCATTTGAATCACGTAGTCAGCTTACAATCACATACGACTTCACATATGGCATGATCCAAGAGAAATGAAGATGTAGTTAAAATCTATGAGATAGAAGTAATTTGATCAAACATGAACTTTCTTATTTTAACATTTTTACAATTACAATGATAAATAATGTCTGACAAAACAAACTGCATACAGAAACAGAGAAAATCATGCAACCTCATACAGCAAATAAAGAATTGCTATATAGATATCAGAGATATCTGCAGAAAACTAAATCTGAGTTCCTTTCATACATTACATTAACCCATGTAAATATTGTAGTAGCAATACGATGAGAAAGCATGAAAACAATATAAATTGTGGAAATGACACAAAATTCATACCAAAATAACTTCATCACTTTAAACTAGAATTACTTTTAAATCTCTTTCTCATAATAGATTTGAAAAGATAGACCAATGCATCAAAACTAGAAGCCAGTGACACAATTCATTGATCAGACTAGGTAATGATTCATAAAAGCAAACTACATTTGATATAATTTGGTCTGATCAACTTGTTTTCGCAAATTATGTCAAGTAAACCCACAAGATATGAGCTTTGAGCGATCAAGCAGTTTATTCAAGAATGTAAGTCACAGTCCACTGCAATAGTTATCTTTTAATCAGGGAAAGTTCCCTAGCAAACAAAAAATTTGGCAGATGCAAAGCACGCATTAATGCGCTGCAAAAACCCACCCAAACTAAACATTGCATCGCATTGATTCAGAAAGGTGTACGGAAAAATATAACAAGTTAGCTGTAGTCACGGATTTAACTCGGGTAATTATTTAATTTTATTTTAAGAAGCAATTATATAAAGTAACAACCAAACAAACCCCGAATTTAAAATACTTTAGCGTTTTAGCATAACTTCAATCTCGAGCCTCTTTTCTCTGTTCAATAATTTTATTTTTGGCTACAAAACTTAACAATCAAAAGCGAAAGATTTAACAGATTTCAAATCTATAACACATTAGATATAACATCATTCGCAATCATAAAGAGGCCAGTTCAAAGTTTTATTAATCATCCAAAAATCTAATCAAAATAGCAACTAAATTATACAAAATGGATTAGAAATGACAGAGAAAACCCAGATCTGAGATAACACGAAGAAGATGGTAAAGAGAAACATACTGGGCTTTTCAGGCTTGCCATCGGTCCACTTGGAGATGGAGAAATGGACTTTCTCACGAGTAAGGGCTTCCGTCTTGTAAGGTTCCTTCAAGCAGTTCCTCACGAGGTTGGCGCATATGTTGGAGTAGGTGATGTAAGTCATGCCGGCTGCACGCCAGAACGGCACCGCCGCATTCGACGCCATTTTTCTTCTTTCTTTGGCTGTGTTGTGGCTGCGAGTAGTACGAAACCGTGGGAATTAGGAGATTGTTTCGTCTTTCTTCTTATTCTTCTTCTTCTTCAGTTTCAAACAGCCGATGCCCAATGGGGGCCTTTATTTATTTTATTTCTCGGATCTGGGCCTATGAGCCTGGGCTTCATTATCCCAATAGGCATTTATCTATTTGGGTTAATTCATCTTACATCCCTACATTATCGCTTAAATTTTAATTTAATGACATTGATTTGGCCCACTAAAATCAAATTTAAACATACTAAAAGATTTTGAGTAGAATTTTTCAAGGGTTGGCTAGATATTTGAGAGAATTGGTGCAGAAAATATTAGACTCAAAATATAATTTTTCAAAAAAGATTATTTTTAAATAAAATATTTTCTTCTCTTAAAATATGTTCGATTTAAATAAGCAAGTCTTTATATATAAACAAGGGAAAATATTATCTAATATTATTTCTAACTTTAAAAATACTTTTAATCTTAAAAATATTTTTCAAATATAATGTTAAAGTGTTATTATAATTGACATAGACGAAAACAATAGATTTCTTTATATTTTTGGATGAAAATTTATTTTTATTCTCTGAAAATTTTATAAATGACTTAATGAGTTAAACGACATCTGTCTTTATTAAACATAGATATCAGAAATGTTTAGAATAAAATGAGCGTACATGTAACTGATGCACTCCTCTAATGCCAAATATCATGTAAGAATGATGGGATTATTTATGAAAATATATTCATTAATTTATCTGACATAACAAGTGTCGCAAAGTCTTCAACAACTCTTGAAGTTGATCGCGATTTGTCTAATCTGACTGCATGGTTCGAGCTTGCGCTTATCTTACCTAATGCCGGCGATAAATATGATGCAACTTCTTCTTCTTCTCAAAAAAGCATCTGCATAATTTAAAGTTTGCACTTTTGACTGTTTCATTACCTGTTAATTTCTTCCAATGAACTAAAATGTTCAGAAACAATTTCAAGCGACAAGCTGGTAAATGAAAATTTTACTTATATATATACACACACACAAGATTTATTCTCATACGAACAGAGGATATGGGAACTAAAACAATGGGCAGTAAATAAAACTCCATATACATCAGGTGAGTACGCCCCCAAGTCCTTGTATTACTATTAATTTCCAGTAAGAAAACAGAAACTGAAATTAAAAGAAGCCAAAAAGAAAAAGAACAAAGTCATCATCACCTTTCTTCTTTTGAAGGACTGGTGTTCCCCTGTGATCCTCATGGTGATCTCCAGCCACGTAAGCCGAGGTCATTGTGTTTCCTCGAAGGACCCGAAGCCGGAACCGGTAGACGTCTAGGCAACAATCCGACGAAGTGGCCTACGTAAGTAGATTTCGGGCTGATTTTCAAAACGTCGGTGGTGGTGGTGGTTCTTGAACCATGGCAGTAGCTAAGAACGAACGTAAGCATTATAAAGAGGCAGAGGAGTAGTGGAACCAGTTGCCTTGTACAGTGAACCATCATAGTAGGGGGAACTAGGTGGTACTTTGAAGGGTTCCGATGAGAGAAAAAGGTGGTAAGCGAGAGGAAAGAGAGAACAAGAGGGGGTGACCTTTCAAACAAATTCATGTGCTTTCTACATTTCTAGAGAAGAGGACTACTGAGAGATGAATACATTATTGGGTTCAAATTTTGACCTTTAATATCAACCTATAACAATCTTGTTGCTCCAACTATGAGAAATGAAAAAGGAAGGGGAGCAAAAGGATTGGGAAAATAAAGTTTGGGCGACGGTGGGAGCAACGGTTCTGATATGTCATCTCCTTTTTTTCCATGGTTAGGTTGGAGTTTGGTCCTACTCCAATAAGGGAATTCCAACTTTTCTTACTTTCTACTCCCTGTTTTCGTGGGCCTCTGATTTGAAGTTTACCTGCATACTTGCAATATCGCACATACATTAAATAAACAAATATATTACTATATTCAGTTATTAATGAAACAATTATGGTTGGGTTTATTTTAGATAATTTATCTCGCTTGATTTAGGTAAAAATTATGGTTAATGTTCTGTGAAAAACATCAGAAGTGAATGAGTTCAAGAAGACAATAGACATCGTTAAAGATTCTCCATCTTTTCTCGTTCACTCTTATATATAATAAGATTTTTAATGATTATTTGTAAGTTAACAGGTTAAATTATATAATATTGTATTTGTTGGATCTTATTTTATGGGTTAAACCGGTGATTAGTGGTTTAATTAATGAACCGACTCCAACATAGTCGTTGTACATGATAAACAACGGATTATGGATTCGACGTATGTATGACCTATCCAACAGACACGGGTCTATCACATCAAATAAACAAATATTTCAAAGTCCTCTGCTCTGTACAGTTTGAGTGTACCCTACTTCCCCTAACCATCTTCACGCCATCTCTGTTTGTAGTCCCTCATTTTAGGAAATTTTAAAATCTTTATTAAAGATATAATTTTTAAGTTGAAACCCTAAAATGATAGTAAATTTGTTTTTAAAGTACAAGGGACAAGACATGTTTTTGTTTCAAGAAAATTGAATTTGAGAATGCAAAGGGAAATGGGGAGATAGTAATACTTTCAAATTTTTTGATAGTATAATGTAATAAAATAATCATATCGTTTGATAGTATTGTCAAATTTGTCCGTGTTATTTTTTTTTGGAACATTTGACCCAAAACATGGTTAAGAGGTTCATAAAAGGAAGAAGAAATTACATGTCAAGAGGGGACGAAGAAGGTATTTGATAAAATGTGTGAGATGCATATCGTATATGTTCAACATTTTGTGATGCAAAAGATTAACAAATGAATGATTTGGCTTGGTGGTTAGGTGATGGGATTTCAAGCATGTTGGCCTAGGTTTAACTTCCCATGAAAGCATATTCTGTTTGGTTTAAATTTAAACTAATATGATGTTGACACGTGTCATCATCTTATTTGACTGAAAATATTAAATAAAAATATATAAATATTAAGAATAATATTTTAATTTTTATTTAAAAATCTGATGTGGCAGTGACACATCATCATCTATCATGACTTAGACACATCACATCAGCATCTGAGTTTGCGTGTTCTTGCTTGGTCAGCATAATGCGTTGATCGTCAGTTGACTAACAGTTTCTATCCAACGAATGTGATTTTTGACCCAAAATGAAACTTTTGAGGGTCAAATGTTCCAAGAAAATAATACGGGTAAATTTAACAATACTATCAAATGTTAAGATTATTTTATTGCAGTATGCCTTTTTTGAAACACCTAACCATACCTTTCTATGATTTGGGTGCTACCTGTGCAAAAATCACCTATTCAATCCTACCATTCTTAGATTTCAATGAACAATTGCAGATAAATATCATTTTTTCCCGTTTTTAATCTTTAAATTGACATACTTGGGTAAATTGACTTTTTCTCTTGGTGTTCTTGAAACAAAGCTCATGCTTTACTTAGTTTTCTAATGCAATTTTCTTTTACCAATCTAATGCGATTTTAAAATATCAATGGCAACAGAATGTTACAATCATTGGAGCTGTGGGGAAGTCCACATGAACAACATTGATGTTCAACTCTGATTGTGTGGCTTACAATATTCCAATATTAGACTTTGATTGCCACTGGACAATTCATAACGAAGGTCTTTCACGGAAGTTGCTCTTAATTTGGCGTTGGGGGCAATTTACTACCCTACCTCCCCTTATCCCATTACATATGGGAATATGGTCAACTAATTTTTTTATTGAAGTACAAAATAACTGTGAAAGTGAAAAGTAGAATTTGAAAAAGAATATTTAGAAAAGGTGTGGATTATATGCTAAATTGTAAAGTTTTATTCCCATATTCAACTTCTTTTTAATAGAATATTAAACACATTACGTGTATAAAATCAGAGTTATTTAAAGAATAAAGTAGGTTCAAATAATTTATTAAATATTAGTCAATTAATATGAAGGGTTGCTGTAAACTTTATAAAATTATCTATTAGCATAGTGTTAGCATTCATTCTTAACGTTTTCTAAATAATTATTTTGAAAAAATATTTAGTCTCTGGCATTATTATTATTTTTGTGTGTAAAATTAATATTTTTTAACAATTCAAACCTGGAGGGCAAGGTGGAGAGAAATTTTACTTCGAAGAAAAAAGTATCAAATTAAAGCTTTTAACCAATTGATTTAAAGACTGTTGACATATTAATTTATTTTTGAACGAAAATCATTTGCCAAAAATAATCGATGCTTATTACTAATGTGACAGATTTATCTAGACTAAAGTACTAGTATTTTAATGATGATGTAAGTAATATGTGATTAATGATAATATGATGTTGACATAACAAATATAAAGATAGTAAAATTACTTTTTTTTAATTAATGGTTAAACTATGTGAATAATTCCCTTCATTTTTTGTCTGACCGACTTTGATCGTCAATTTAAAAATTAAGGATATGTGATCCCTAACATTATCAATTTGTTTGATTTTAGTCCCTCAGCTCTCAACTCCGATTAACCCTTTAACGAAAGTATTATGTGCCAATTAAAAATTAAAAATTAAAAAAAAATCACACTTCTTCTTCAGTACCATAAACGTAACCCATAAATGGTGATAATATCATCTAGTTGGACCTCTCCGAAACTCGTTTCTTTTCTCCTTTGCCATTCACTGTTATAGAGACAAGAAGCTCCTCAACCTGCAACACCACTTTCAATGGAACCACAATTGGGACACTTTTGCTTTGACTTGTTTGTCTCATAAATCAAGTAAGCTTTCTTTTTATTGATGTTATTATCGTCATCATCAAACGAAAACTCCTCTACATTACATCGTTGGCCAAAGCTTCACCATTGTTTCATTTTCTACTTGTATGAGTATCTCTGTGACTATTTTTCCTTTTCTTTCCTTTTTTCTTGCTAGGAATAGAGAAGACGACCATTATTGCTTCCTTCTCTTTTATTTATTTGGGAGTGGAAAACTATATATGAACTTTAAGTTTATCTCGACTTTGTTTTTAATTAGATTATGCGATTATAATTGGCTTATATGAT